TTTTTTTTTTTTTTTTTTTTTTACACTAAGATCCATGAATCATTAGCTACTGGAGTCACAGTGAGATGAATAAAATTTTTTATTGCTCCCTTTGCACTGCCTGAAATCCCCTCAGTTCAGCTGAATATCTCAGAACGAAGGGCTCGTTCATCCAAGGTCACAGACAACGGAGCCAACGCAAAGTGGAATTGATGGGCGAAATTTTCAACTTTGTGCTTGAGAAATGTTCCCTGCAATCCGCTCCACTGTGTTTTATTTTTCTATTCTGCGCCCAACCCCCACCTTACCCCCAAGCCACATATGTCTCTCAGCAGGGAAGAGGCAAACAGTTGAAAACATCTTCTCCGTTTATTCCCCGACTTTATGTGCAGCTCCGGGATTTATTGACACAATTTAATTATGGGACCTTCCCAAAATGGCATTAACGGTCGATAAACGTTACCATTGAGCGGGCTCTTCGGAAGCCATCTTTTCACAAACTCCCATCTTCCGCGGCGTAGTGTGAATTCACATAACATTTGCTCAGACAACCTCAGACAACTGCCTCGGTTAAACTTCCAGACATTCCAAATCTTGACGCCTCAGTGCTCGCCATTCCCCTGCAACCCCCCTCACCCCCCGATTAATTCCCTTCATTTGGCTGTGTGGTTGTTAGCAGCTGCGGCTACCCCCGTACCCTACTTTAACAGCTGTGCGGGGTCATCATTTCAAAGCCAAAACACACACACACTTATCACGAGGTAGCCACAGCGCCTGCCTGCTAATGACTGAAGGGGTGTGTGGGAGTGAGGGAGGTCACGGAGACGCGGTGCTTGTTGTGTCTGCTGCCGAGGTGTGCGAAAACATGGCTGCTCATAAGCAGAGCCACTTCAGGCAGTACATTTTAGCTCTGGGATTTATATTTGCTCCTTTCTGTTCCTGCGCCGCCTGATCTCCCACATGCACGTGTTTGCTCCTTTTCTTTCCCCGGCTTCTTTCTATTGTTTTTCTTCCTAATCGCTCTCTTGCCAATTTTCTCCTCAGTTCTTACTTTGGCTTTTTCTTTCTGATGTTGTTTTTTTTTTTTTCTTCCTTTCTGTTTTTTGTTTCCCCCGCCAGCGTCTTTGTCTTTTCCCCACCTTCTTCCCTTGTTGTTTGGAAGCCGTGCAATAGCCCCTTCCAGCGACTCGGAAGCTCCTTAATTTCCTCCACTGTGCCGATGCTTCTGCATGCCCAGCCCTGACACTCAAAGGCTCTCCCTGCATGTGTGCTGTGCACTGAGGACCTCAGTGCACATCAGTTTAGTCTGTTCCAGACTAACCCCTCAGCACCAAAACCCTACTGTTGCTGCTCTGGATCCATTTGGATGTGAGCTAGCCTCAGGCTGTGGACCTGGTGGAGGATATGAGACACACGAGTGCAGAAAATGGCTGAGTCTGCCTGTTCAACAGATGGCACGAGCCTTAGAGCCAGTCCTACCTCACATGTTGGGCACTCTTTAAGAAAATTAACAGTAAGGACTCCTAGTAAACATTCATTTCTCTTAATAAATATAAAAGGGTATTTCCTATCTCTGTGCAGGTCTGTTCGGTCTGCTGTTGTGTGTCTTTGGCCTTCTCTCTGTTGCTCTCTGTTGTTTTCTCCTTCACCTTGTTCCCCTTGCTCTTCAAATGCCTCCCGTTTAATTTGTGTAGCAAATTGGGCTCGGCAATAGCTCGAAGGGGGGAGGAGCGGGGGACATAATTGTCCCCAGCGAGCCAAGGGGGGACAAAGTGCGAGAGAGGCAACAAACAATTTCTCTGTTTTGTACTGAGCAGTAATACAAACAGGACTCACTGGAGATGAGAGGACAGCCTGAAGCATTAAACAGCTCCACCTGCGCAGGGATGAAGTTAAAGCTAAAACTTTGGTGTGGGCACCAGAACTAAATAACTCGGGTCTCCTTTAACTCGATAGAGCTTTTGCTTCATGAGCCCAACACAGATATGAAGCAAAACCAAACCAGGTTTGGACGGGTTCGTGTCTCCACAAGGTGTGGGGCTTGATTTTGCTACTGGGCCACAGAAAAATCAAGTCGACCAGCAATATAACTTAGATTACAGAGAGGAAGAATTTGCCAGCGTCAAACTATTAGATAACGGTTCAATGCTGGTAAGTCTGGCATTTATGCAACAAAAATAATGTACAACACAATATAATATATACAGAGAAATAGACAACAATATAGTGCTGTAATTGTAACAACATACTGCTGTAATAATGTTATAATCATATCGTAATATACAACAGTTTCAAAACTCAACTGTGATGACAAAGAGTGATATTTTACTGTATTTTTAGAGCAGTTGGCTTTATAATATGTAGCTTAATTATTAAACTGATTCAGCTACAGATGTGGAAATTGCGAAGTAATTTACTGTATCTTTCTTTTCTCAATGAGCACACATCACTGACATCAAAAACCTAGTTGTCTCCCCAAGACAGCTCACTCTCTATTTACTTTAAGGGAAACAGTATTATATTTGATATATATTCGTTTAGTTTTATTTGTTCTTTTTAAATTGATTTTTAAGATTGTAGTGCAGTAAAAATCTGATAAGGGTAGCATAACAGATGTTTACTTTGATTGCACTTTTAATAACAGTATGTGGGAGTTGGTTATGGATAATAGGGATTGATTTGTGCATAATTGGAGCTTATTATTTAGTGTTAGTGTACAGTAGTGTTCTAGCTAACTAGGCAGCTCAGCCTCTTTCTGTTGGCAATACTTACTTATACATTTTTGGGTCAACTTGAACGAAAGGTGGATTGTGAAATGTAAAAGTGAGGTCAGAGGTCAAATGTGACATGATTTTGGATGCAAACTAACTATATAAACATTTTATGAAAGTTTGATCTCATCTGATCTTGAAGAAGAGGTCAAATGTTCAAAGTAACATCATTTTTAGAATCCCCATATATCACTCCATATATGCTGATATGTTATGTACAGATTACTGTTATTTCTGTGACCTTCAGATCAGTCTATCAATGTTCATGAAGTGTGACATCATATTTTGCATTTTTACACACTACTTTCTATGTGTTGACAATACACAGCACACTTGCACGATTCATAGGTTCTGAATTATCAGGCTTTTTATTCATTTTCAGCCAATAAATCAATAGGTTGAACTTAAAGTCCTTGGTGAATATGAGACAAATTTTAATGGACGCCAGAATTCATTCAGAACCTTTCAAGCTGTCGTGTTTAAAGACAGGTAGAAAGACAAGGCAACTGAATGCTACCACAAAAGCATAACCTCCCTGGTGGAGTTAAAAAATCAGCTGGCATTTCAGCTGCAAATTTGCTCAACTACATCTGTAGAGAAACCCAACTCACACATTTTCTAGCCCATGCTGTGTTGGACCACGTCAAACCCTGGGCCTAATAGTGTTTTAATTGATTGCCCTCATTGCTGGTGGATGGCGTGGTGAGTCGCAGCGAGCCAGCCCAATTCTCTTTAACACGCCAAAGGAATATCGACAAGGCTCCGTCCTCTTTACACATTAAGATGTTAACACCCAAACGTCATCTCGCTCACGCGCGCGAGTATAGAGCAACATGCCCACCCAAGCACTAACAACATCCACAGGCACCTTAATGTATGTGCAAACCTTTGGAGCCTGCAATCAAAGGTGAACCACATGGGAGGAAAACAGCACATCATCTATTGATGTGGTGATTCTTCTGAGCTGCAGCAATGTGAAAAAAGCAAGCCATAGTGGAGTTGATGGGGGGCGGCTAAGGGCAGAATTAAATACAACAACATCTAAAGGCAGCCATGTTTCCATGCTAGTAGATTTGCATTCTGTCCTTTCCCCATAAGTCAACTAAATGCAGAAGCAAGTTATGACCCAGCAGTATCTACTGTGACAGCAGAGGAGAGTATAAGTGTCATCTGTTTAGTAGTAATGCAGCAACAGAATGCGAAAAAATTAGAGGCATGCCTGCTGGACGAGCTATACACACGCTTAGTTATGCACACGCGCAAAGACACACTGTCATTCCTATGAGCGTTACAGTGTTGTGAATAAAGCTGCAGCAGCAGCAGCGATGCACACAGATAAGTGGAGAAGTTCTAATGCATACGCTCGCCTCACATACCAGCTAAAAAGCTTCACCTTGTTAGGAGTACAAAAGCTAATGATACTCAATTCCCCAGATGACGTTAGGATGTAATGTGTGTTTTATGCATGCCTGGCCTAATATGAATTATTGTAAAATAGTATTGTATTTGCATATAAGCTTGCGGGCTGTACTGAAATTAGCATATTTACAACAGCTCAAATTAAATCCGTCTGCTTAATTTGCCTACATGCTAATTTGATTTAAATTGAGTCAATTCCGTTCGCTTTTACGCCCGTA